AGACAACACAAGATCATCGTTGGCTACTATAATATAATGTCTCTTGTTTTCTTCTAAATGATTGTCTATATCTTCATACACAATGAATTCATACAAAACAAAATAGTATAAAACTGATTAAAACAGAATAATGAAAGCATTGCAGGCCTTCAAAACCGGACAATAGGAAAATCAGTACTGGCTACCGAAATGTCTCTTATTCTCTTCAAAATAGTTGTTGAAATTAAATAATACAAAACAGTCTAAACCACTCTAAACAAAGAATAAAATCATTACTGAATTTCACAGTATCAGAGATATCTTTTGCAAATATTTCCCCCAAATATTATTATATAGTCATGATTTCACACTGGTTGCTGTGACGCTCTTGTAAACAATATAAATATTATCTGTCTCCAAACTTTTTCTCCCATTCTGCAGATTGTCTATCTCTTGACACTGTCTTTTTCAGTGCAGAAAAAATTTACATACTAACAGAGTCTGGCTTACTGATTCTGCCTTGGGAAGGTCATGCCTTTCCTACCGTCGTGGAAAAGTTCTGTCTATGCCAAGGCCATCTCTGCTTCTCCAGGGTTAGCTTCTGAGCCTCTTAGTTTTGCCCTTTACCTCAGGTCTGTGATCCATTTGGAGTTAATTTTTGTGAAAAGTGTGAGTTTGTGTCTTGCTTCTTTTTTTTGCATATGGATTTCCATTTAGCACCATTTGTTGAAAAGCCTGTCTTTTCTGCATTGTAGTATTTTTGCTCCTTTGTTAGAGATCAGTTGACTGTTTATGTCGTTCTACTTCTGGCCTCTATTCTCTTCCATAGGCCTATTTGTTTTTCTTTTCAATAGCACTATGTACATTTCAGGTGGTTTTGTATGGTTGGGTTAATATCTATAATATTTGCTCCATTTGGATTTGTTGCTCTTGTTCTTTGTTCCTGTTTTTATCTTCCATATGTCTGTCTTTTGTGGTTTTAGTGGAGCGTTTTATAGGAATCCATTTTTCTCCTTTCTTGACACATCAATTACATTTCTTTTGTTACTTTTTTAGTGGTTCCCAGAGTTTGCAGTATACATTTGCAACAAATGCAAATTTGTTTTCAATTATATGCCACTTCGTGTATAGTGAGAGCACTATACAATAACAGAGTAATTCTAATTTTTCCTTAGTGTCATTGCCATCCCTGGTTTCACTTTTACATAAGGCTCCGTAATAAAATGAAAGACGTTGTTACTATTATTATTTTAAAGACACTGTTATCTGTTAGTTCAACTAAGAATAAGAAAAGTAAAAGTTTTTATTTTGGCTGGGGCTATAGCTCAGTGGCAGGGTGGTTCTACAGCATATTTAAAAAAAGAACAGAGAAAACTTATATTTTTTATTTTCTCTGTGGTGCTCTGTTATACGGATCTGAATTTCAGACCGGTATCATTTCCTTTTTCTCTGAAAAACTGCTTTGCACATTTCTTTCAAGGCAAATCTACTGAAAGATAAAGGCAAAAGCAGCCAGAGCCAAAGCGTGGGGGTGGGGGAGAACACGCCTCTTCTCACTTAGGCTGTACACAGATCACCCCTTCCTCCAGGGCAGGTGTAGCACTCCCAAAATCTCCTTGCCCTCATCTTGCACAGAATGAGGATATTTTTAGAGTTGGCCCCAGGCTCCCTGCTGAGAAGTAAACTTCCCAACTTCTCCAGTTGACACAGCGTGTTAACCATGACACGGTCTTCCTGGGGTTTTCTCCTTCCTGCAGGAGACAGTAGGCCCAGAATGACTGGAGCTGGGTGTCAGCCTTCTCTCCCATGTGAGGCCCCGCTGGCTGGCGCTGGGGATCAGCCTTGCTCTCCCTCAGCGAGACTCTGAGAAGCCGCGAGCAGGTTCCCTTCTGGTTAAGCGCTTCCTCTGAGACAGCTGACCTGGTAAGAAGAGCACAATGCCTTGGCACTCTTCACAAGGGCTTCCTTTCCCGTCCCTCATCTGCGTCTAAGGGCTTCCCTCCTACACCCACTGCGAGAATGTGGTAGAAGCAAAATTTAAAATGTGAGGACCTCTCCTGGTTGGCTTCCGGATTTTACGTCTCAGCTGGGTTGCCCCGTGCTGCCTGGGTTCTAGAGCCTTACGTGCACCTGTAGGTTGTGGCTGTCTCTATTTGCCTGTTTCTTGCCCCAGTTTTTGGGCAGAGGTTTGCCCCAAGACCTAACTTCCCTGATGGATTTAAGAGCTGTTGGATTTTAATTTTGTTCAACCTCTTGTTTGTTGTGAGGACAAAATGACAACTGCCCAGCTTCACATGCTGCGCTGGAAACAGATGCGAGAGAGAAGGGGAGGAAAGAGGAAGGGAAGGGGAGGGAGAGGAGGGAGGTGACGGGGAGAGAAAGGAGAGAAAACAGAAGGAGAGAAAAGGGCCTTTTGAGGGCACAGGAGGACCGCCGAAGTACCAAGGGGATGCAGGGGGCACCCTCTGGAAGCCTCAGCAAGAAACTGGAATTTGATAGAGGTAGAGCTAAAGGAGTGAGCAGAGTGACGTATTGACAGCTGATGGGAGGAGCCTGTGCACAAGAAGCAGGAGATTTGACTTTGTACGTTTGGGAAACCACAGGGATGTGCCAGAGCGGACACACCTGTCTCTTGTCAAGGTTAATTTTAATTTGAGCTCTGTCGAATGTAAGTCTTCCAAAGTTTTCCTTTGTATTTAGTAATCTTTGGGAATTCTGCTTTTATGTCATGCTTTAGGCCTTTAGGACCTAAAAATATTTATATCCATTTTCCCATCATTTTATGGCCTAATTGCTTAAATATTTTTTTCATTTTTTTTTTTTGAAGGTAGTAAAAATACAACAGAACAAGACAGAACAAAGCCAATCGAGACAATGCAGTGAAATTGGTGCAACTTCACAGCAGGATTCTAGGATAGTAGTAATAGGTACTATAGTATATCTTGTTATCTTCACAGTAGTTTACCAGTCAATTAGATACAGTGAAATCAAACCAAAAACAGAGCATTATAAAACCAATTGAGAGTATTGAATAGAGCAAACAAAACAGTGAAAACAACCTGTACCTTCAAGCAGAAGATATAAGGAGATCCCCCATATTTGCCATATTGCATATGGTCATCCTCCCAAGAGAGGCTGAGACATCTATTCCCAGTAGCGAGGAGGGTGGTGTTTGATCCTCAGCCCGCATAGTGCCAGGCTCACAGGAGCCACTGGTTCTCCTCTTGGCCCACACTGGGGGCACTTACCTGCTTAAACCTTAAGTCTTCTGAGTTATAACTTCTGAGTTATAATTGAGTTATAATTTAGTACCCAATTTTATTTAGCTTCTCAGTATCATTTATTCATGGCCCTTCTTTTATGTGCTGATTTGTGATCTGCCATTGTATACTAAAATTTTGTATTTGAACCCCACTGCCTGCCAAGAAGCAGTGCTGATCCCAGGGCACTGAGGAAGATTGTAGGCCCCGAAGCCTGGGGGGTGGCTGCCTGCTGCCACCTGGACAGGCCTCGTGCTCTGCCTACTTTTGACAAGGGCTTGTTCTGCTGGTACTGCGTTTCGGAGGACAAGGGTCCCAGCCCAGCCAGGACAGCCTGTGCGCTGATCTCCATCCTGTGGATCCTGGGCTCTCTCACCTGGGCTTGGTTGTCTAGAGCATGTGTGTCCATTTCTAACCCCCAGAGGCCAGCAGACAGCAGCTTGCATGGTGTCTGGGCCAGGACCTCACCGTTACTTGCAGTGTCTTTTTCTCAGGGTGTGCTTCTCAAGTCCTCCAGGTTCGGGCTACCCTAGACCACTCGTGGCCAGCACTTTGCCAACAAGGAAGGTGGGGGTATTGAACATTCAGGCCGCGTGGGCAGTCAAGGACACTGAGTGATTTCTGAGAGCCTCTGGGTGCTGCAGGCAGGTCACCCTGCATTTCCCCATCCTGTACCCTTTAAAGAAGTCTGACTGGGCTCTCTGTGTTCCCTAGCCACTGAATTTCAGTGGAAACCAATGGAAGCATTGTGACAAGTGTAGGAATGCAGTGCTTGCACTCAGTGGCCGTTAGCCAGAGTCAAAGCCATGAGTCTTAAATGAACATCACGTGCTGGTAGGCACCATGGACACTCAGGCGGCTCTGTGTCACCCGCCCCGCCAGACTCAGGCTCCAATGAAAGCCTGGCTGTTTTCCAGCCAGGGACTGCTCTGCAGCTGGCCAGTGCGGTAGCACATTTGGGTGGAGAAGCATGGGAGGGGAATCCAGGGGGCAGCGAGAGCCAAGTGCTATCACTCTAGGGCCCCTTAGCTACTAAGGTTTCACTCTGATCTCAGTGTCAGTGACAGCAGCAAGACTCTGTGGCAGGGACAGCCCTGGCCCATGGCACTTTACTGATAACCTGTGCCCTGGGCCACCCGACTGTGCGGAATACTTGGTCATCTTTGCGTGGGCATTTTGACCATGGGCAGCACCATGGCACTCTATTCGGTTCCCTGTCTGTAAAAGGACAACTGTAGAGCACCTGCCCTGTCCAATTTCCTGAGGATAATTGTGTGAAGTGCTGACTGGTGAGGCCTAGGACAGGAAGTGAGGCTGCAGTACTTGGCTGTTCATTCTAAACCTCCAAAGTTGTCGTGCAGTGAAAATGTACAATATGTATTTTATGTTGAGTTTTAATGACCTTAATTTTGAAAATGTGTTCTTGTAAATAAATTTTATTACCCAGTGAAAACATGTTTATAATTTAGATTTATTTTGGATATGTATTCTTTAAAGTATTCTGAGCTTACCTGCTTTGAATATTAAGACCAGAAATTACCTTCTTTTGGGGGGAGTGTTAAAATCTGTAATTCCTTCTAGGAAAGATAAATTTGGTACATGAAGAAAGTTCTGTGTACAAATATTCACAATTGATCAGTGTGTCTCTAGTGCCTTACTTTATGTGGTTATTTGTTGATCCTTGTATATTTTGTGTTTTAATGTGGAGCAAATGTTTGTAATATTTGAAGGTAATATATACACATGTGCATAGGCAAAAAATTATGTTTAGGTTTGCTTATTTATTTTTTGCTTGATTTTTTTCTACTATCATCAAATAAAAATTTAGGGTCTCAAAAATCAGAATCTATAGGGATCATCATGTGAGTAAAGATGTTTCAAAAAACAAAAGACACTTTATTTCCCTCTGAGCAGGGTGTTCTTGTGAGTCATCATTTTGCTTCATGGTCTGCTAATGCGAGAGGAGCAAGATCCCTCCTCCTTCGCCCTTAGACCTTGTATTTGTCAAGTCTCTCATTCCTTTCCTGGGCTTTGTGCTTGGGGGTAGAATGTGCTGTGGTGTGGACAGGGTTTGTTCCCTCTGGAATCCATATTGCAGTTTATCTCCATTGTGAACTGTTAGCACTTGCAGTGTAAACCTCCCTGTGGTACTTGGAGGTGGGCCCTGTGGGAGGTGATTAGACTTCGGGGCTGTTGGGGGGCTGGGGATTCACTGCTGGTGCTTTGTACGAAGACGTAGAGAGGCCAGACCGTGCACGCATGTGCGCAGTTCCATGTGTCTTGCTGTGCGATGCCTTGTGTTGCTCTGGGGCTCTGCCAGCATGATCCTCACCAGGTGTGGTCGCTTGACCTTGGCCTTCCAGTATCGTGAGCCACAATGAGCCTGTCTTCTTCCTATGTTAACCACCTCTGAGGATTTCGTCATCATTCAGACTGGGAACAGACTAATACAAGACAGTTTAAAAGAATAAATTTCTAAATTAAATTTTAAAATCAGTTAGCTAACAAAGTTTTAAAAGCACTGAACTACTGAAACATTCTGAAAATGAAACTACCAATCATTAAGTAAAAAATCTATAGAGTGATGTGAAAATACACAAAAGATACAAATCTTTAATGGGCAAAAAATATGAATGGCCCTTAAATATAGATAAAAATGTTAGCAAGGAGGCGAGGACTGTCATGCCCCTCTGCAGAGAATGTAAACTGCTCCAACCTCACCTTTGAAGGTAATTTTTTATGGTAACTATTAACATAAGATACTGCGCTACTTCCCTATTGCTTTTGTTTGGTTGGTTTTTTTTGGTGGAAGAGGTACCAGGAATTGAACTGCGGATCTTGTGCTTGCCAGCAGGTGCTGTGCCACTGAGCTATATCCCTGGCTCTCCTAGTACTTTTTTTTTAAAATTTGAGACAGGGTTTCATTAAGTTGCCCAGGCTGAGCTTGAACGTGGAGTCTCCTGTCTCAGCATCCCACGGTGCTGGAATTACAGGCGCACACCACCGCGCCCAGCTGGAGAGGATTTCTGTGGTTAGCAGGTACTTAGCCAAAGCATTGGAGGTCTTGCCACTCCCGAGAGAGTGAGCACTGTGGTCCCATGACCATGGCCAAACTGTGGGACCTCTGCAAAGCCTTTGCGCTGTCATCAGCAAAGTGGGGCTGAGAACTGTTCCCCCCACCCAGCTGGTTGTGTTTGGGAGTAAGAGGTAAGGCTCTCGAAGCACTTCGTACATTGCCTGGCATGTGGGCTCAGGTTAAATACTGGTCATTTGCCTCTCTGAATAAATTGTATTATAAGTGGGCCACAGTATTTTGAAGACTTTGCTTACTGTAATTATTTTGGCCAATTTTTCCTTGAAGCTTCTTATGTCTCATGTCCTGGGTGAGGCTTGGGGATGTAAGTATGACTGGAATGAGAGCTGGCCCCCTGGATGAGCTGCATTCTTTGGGGGTCAGTTTCAGCACCTACGCTGACTGCTGGGGTGCAGGAATGCACAGGGTCTGCAGGGGCAAAGGAGAGATGCTGGAGGCGGAAAAGCCTGCCTGCAAGAGTAGATGGCTGCACTGAGTCTTAAAAATCAATTAGTACTTAATATATAGTTGGTTACCTGGTAACCACTGTAAATGCCATAGAATGAGAGGTGTTTAAAAGTAAGTTGTCCTTCATTGCTTGTCCCCCAGCTGTCCAGTGCATCTTGAGAGCCACTGCTGATTACCAAGATGCCTTCCTTGTTGAGGACAGGAGCCGAGCTTGGGGATTTGACGAAGTGTATGTAGTGTCTGGTTTTTAATACTCCTGGAACCCAAGAGCAGCAGCAGGGAGGACAGAGTGGAATGATGAGGTATAGCTAGACTTGGGCAGGAGATTTCTCAGCTATGTTTCCTAAAAGAGTTAAAGACATCATATTATAGTAGTCCATGCATACCCATGTTTATAGCAGCACAAATCACAAGAACTGAACCTTGAAAGTGGCATATATGCCCATTAACACAAAAGAGGGCAAAGAAAATATGGTGTTACACACAATAGAGTACTACTCTGTCATAAAGGAGGATAAACTTCATCTGTGAGAAATGGATGCACCCTGAGACCATAATGTTAAGTGAAATACAAGGCACACAAGCTTAAATATTGTGTGATTTCTCTTAAACGAGAAACTCAAATTATAAATAGAGAACAAAATATAAGATAAATAACGGGAAGCAGGGAGAAATTTTTCAAATGGCAAGAGGACCAAGAGATGGATGAAGTAGGGAGGAGGCAGGAAACAGGACTGCAAAGGAATTATGACATACTGTGCACATGTATCAGGGCCACACAAGGAGTGTGAACATTAGATCCTAGAAACGTGTACTACTACAAACAAAAACCAAAAAGGGTTCACTACACCAGAAAAGAGAAATGGTTTTATAAGATCTTGCTGTCCGAAGTTAAAACTGGTTAACCTATCAATAGAGCTTTTAAAACTCTGCAAATAATTATGTGAAAATCCTTGACCATTTGACAGAACTTGAAAAAAATTTTTTGATGTAAATACTAAGTAAATACCTTTTCTTAAAAACAAAGATATTTAAAAGAAATGTGCAGCTATTGAGTCATGGGTGATACTTTCTTGTGTATTCTAGTTTCCATTAAAAACAAATAATATGTGATAGCATTACAGAAAATAATTATATTTTAATAAATGTATTTATCTTTAAACACTGCAATTTTATATAGATCATTAATGAAGCAGGGATGATGTATTCTAGAAATTTCTCCATCTTGGTGTCTTAGATGACCACACACACAGTAGAGCATTTATTTCAGGACAGTGGCTTTCAGGACTAAATAAAGCCTGCCTTTGATAAAGTATCTTTTATGTGAAGCTACTGGGTATTGAGGTCAACTCTGACTAGATTGTGGCTTGAATAGTAGTGACCCTCAACTACTCAAAAAAGGGAAGAAAAAAAGAAAATTGGTTTTAAAGATCTGGCTGTCCACAAATTAGTAGAGTTTTATTTACTCTTTGACTCTTGGTTTGTAAGTCATCAGCTCATACGAGGAATATAAGAGAAGCATTTCTTCCCAATGCAGATCATACCCTACATGGATCATCTGCCTGTCTTAAGTATCCAAACTTCATACAGTGTAGAAATCTTTCAACACAGTGTTTTAAGTTGCAGTTTGCAAGGGCGAGATTTATGTTTATTTTCTAAAATGCATACACAGAAGAACCTCCTGTATCTTTTCTGGTGCTGGGATTTGAACCCAGGACTTTTCATACCGAGCCCTCTTCCCAGTCTGTTTTAGTTTTTATTTTGAGACATGATCTTGCCAGCTCACTAAGTTACGCATGTGCTGGGCTTGAGCTTGTCACCCACTGCCTCAGTCTCCCAAACTGCCGCACTTGCAGGCCCATGCCAGCACTCACAGCCATGTGCAGAAAATTTTAAGTGGCATTCCAGATGTAACCAGTAGATCACCAGCCAGTTGTGGATGATTTGGAAGTTTACTGGGTGTCACCCAGTGGGTTGGACGCTTGATGGTAGCACAGAATGAAGTCATAGTTCTGTACTGAGCAGTGGGTGTTGATCTTATTTTCAGTGTTTTACAAACCCAATAGTTGTTTTATATTGCCTTGTTTTAGTTTCATTTTAAGAAATTCTTTAGAGGTTTTAAGTTGATATGTAGTACATTTAAATTTTTCTTATTTAAAATAATGAAGCTGGGTGTGGTGGCTCCTGCCAATAATCCCAGCACCTGGGAGGCTGAGGCAGAAGGTTCGTTATAAGTTCAAGAGCAGCCTGGGCTACAAAGTGAGCTCAGTGTTGGCCTGAACTGCATAGTGAGACCCTCTCTCAGAAAGACTAAATAAATCAATAAAAATAATGAGAAATTTGCTTCATTTGGCACTCTTATGCATAATACCAGATTTCATGAACAAATTATTGCCGTCAACTGGGAGGAACATGTTACTGTCAGTTCCGTTTATTATCCAGTGGTTTGATGGTGGGTTGTGTTAGGCATGTTTCGTGTGGTCATCTTTTTCTGAAGTCTTCTTGCTGCTCAAGGTACTTTCAACTGTATGTTTATAGTATTTGTAGCATTCAGTGCAGCACTATGTATATTCTCTGATTGACTGATACTGGGGACTGCACCCAGGGCCTTCACACTGAGCTACTTTCCCAGCCCTTTCATTGCTTTTTATTTTAAGACAAAATCTTGATAAATCACCAAGTTGCCCAGGCTGGGTTTGAACTTAGATCCTTAAAGTTAACTACACAAATTATGTTCATTCACTTAGCAAATATGTATTGGGTGCTTCATATCAGGTAATGATGATTCCCATCAGTGGGGACCAAAGGAGAAGGCAGAGACGGAAGGTAAGCAGCAGGTACAGCATTTGTGGGTTATTACCACCCAGTGGTAAGGTCAACAAAGTGTCAGTGACAAGGCACACCTGCTTGGTAATTTGGACTAGTCACTTAATTTACATTAAGTGAAAGGAAATCAAAATCACTTTACAAGTATTAGAGTACTGCATAACAATATCCAGAACTGGCCCAAAGATGAATTGTATCATTTGGAATTCAGATTAGCTGCCTGTAACAGATTCCCTGCATAGTGAGTAGGTTAATCAAGTTACAAATGTCTCCTTACTGTCACAGAAGCCTGACTGTACAAGGGCTGATAAAAAATTGGCATAGGTTTAAATTAAAATTTGTTACAGTAAAGGACACATTTCTGTGAATCCCTCTGTGTTTTCCTTTGCTTTAAATACACTTACCTCATTGTTCCTGCCACCTCGGGAAGCAGTGCTGGAGTCTTTTGTGTCTTCAGTTGTGCTGTCTTGATGTCTGTCCCACACAGTCATTTTGACTTTGAGGAAGAACTGGAAAGCACATGGTGCCAGCTGACCGGGGCGGGTGAGCACACACTGTCGTATTTTTACGAGCCTGCCTTCCGGCCTTCCGGTCAGTGGTGTGTACAGCAGTAGTCATTGAGCTTCTCATCGGGTCGTGAAGATGCTCCAGAGCTGCTTCCGGAAGTGGCAGATATGGTAGAATAAATGTGTTTGAAATGATAGGAAGCATATTTTTGGTCTTTTTTTTATTTCAAAAAGCAAAACAAAAAAAGGATAGAAATGATACAGAATTTCAAGAAGAAAAAAAAGTAGAGGATTAACACTAGTTAATATATTGCACATCTCAGAATTGGTTGCTCAGGTTTTTTGTCTTTTTGAGACAGTCTCACTGTGCAGTTTGGACTGGCCTTGAGCTCACTTTGTAGCCTAGACAGGTCTCAAAGTCATAATGATCCGCCTGCCTCAGCCTCCCGAGGGCTGGGTTTACAGGAGTGCACCATCACTCCCTGGCGATAGGAAGTGTTTTGAGAGTAATTAATGGTGATATCTTTTACTTTATTAATTTAAAAAAATTTAAACACCATGTATTTTGATCATCATTTGTATGTTTCTTTCTGTTTTCTAGAATAATGGTTTTACCAGTGCCTTAGGATTCTTGTGCTGCTGTAACAGATACGTGTATTCATCATACTCAGACAACAGTGAGGGGCATTAGGAAGATTTTTTAAAAAATTAGCCTTAGTTCTGTTTCCCTAATTGGAACTGAAGTGTCTTAACAAAATTAAGAGAAGTTTTGTTTGTTTGTTTTTGGTTTTGGTCCTGCATGAGAGAGCATGCATTTTCATCCAGCAGAGCACAGGGAGGGGTAGCTCCCAAGGGTGACCAGGTGGTTTGAACAGACATTATCAGAAACAACCGTTGCTTTCAATTTGGTTTTAATGAAATTTCAAATACAGTTGTTGTCCCACTTGGAGGTTTTGTCGTCTCACTTTAAGGTTTTGCCTTCTGTAGCTTGTTTTTGTGGTTAGCTGCTCTCTGAAAATATGAAAAGGAAACTGCCAGAAGTAAAGAACTGATAAGTCTTAGGTTGCACGACCTTCTGAGCAGTGTGACGGAGTCTTCCACCTGCTCCCCAGGGTGTGAACTCCCTTTCTGTGCCCGCGTGGAACACAGCCCTCACCTGTACTTGGCGTTCCTCGTAGTTACCAGCTTTACTGTCACCAGTAAAGCTGTATCTGTGTCCAGGGGACCTTTACTTTCCTTTGAAAAGGCCCCAGCGCATAATAGCACTGATGCCTACAGTTCAGATAAGCTGAGGAGAAGCAGTGAAGTCCTCCTTTAAGGGAAGAGGTGAGCGTTCTCATTACAATAAGAAAAGAACAGTATGCTGAGTTCAGTAAGATCCATGGTGAGCGCCTGTGAAATCCTGAAGAAGTACAAAGAAATTGTGCTGGTTTTGCTGTTGCACAATCAAACCTCAAAGATCTGCGGCCACAGTGTGTGGTACAGGTGTAGTTCATGTGGAAAAGGCATGCAGTGGTGCACGAAGGTGTAGGAAAAAAGAACTGTGTGTGTGGGGCTTGGTGCTCTGTGCGGTTTCAGGATCCATGGGTCTCTGGGTAAGCTGGGACAACTGTAGCATTTGAGGAAAATTTCATTTATCAGATGTGGCTTGGGGTTTAAAATCCTGAAAGCCACTGCCATGAGTAAGCATCAACAGTCTCAAGCCCCCATCACTGAGAGACCAGTTGGCTGTTTTTCTTGCCAGCTAGTAGCTTTCATCCTCTTTAATTTCTTCCAAATGGAATCATTCAAGTCCGTTCGCTTGAGGCGTATTTTAAACATTTTAGCCTAGTTATCACCATTTTGGAGATTAGAATTGAACCTTTTTATGAGAATCATTGCATTTGATTTATGAAAGAAGAGTTTAAGAGGAACAGGAAATTAAAAAGAATGATCAGAAGCCTATTTCTTTTGCTTATTGCAACCAGAAAGAAAGAAGCACTTTCTCAAACTGCCCTTTGGAAACCTTTACTAGTGCATTTGGGAAGTGACGGAGAAACTGCGTGGGTGCCTGATTTATGGCCATGGGAAACCGAGTCATTCCTTTGCTGCAGGCCCACGAGAAGCAGGGTATGCAGCAAAATCTCATCTGCCTTCACAGGAACAGAAAATTAATGCCATTATTTCTTTCATTATCTGAAATACTGGATTGAAAGGTGCATCATTTATATTTAAACATTTGCACCTTCTTTCTGGCCAATCGTATGGTGGGAAAATGTGTTTTGCCTGTGACAGGTTAGAAATGCTGAAGTCATGTAAATACAATGACTTGAAGTGTGTTAGCTTTATTTCTATGGACTTTACAGTCTTTGTGATGTTCATATCCCTCCCCCTGGCTTTGGAGTCTATATATTTATGTAGGCATATGTCGCTCGCTGTCTCAAAAACCTGCATGGGCCTTATCAGTCATCTTTCTAACATCTGAACCACATCGAGATTAGAAAGATCCCAGTTGTCCTGTGATTCAAGCATGCCTTTATTTTTCATTCGCCTTTGTCTGTTAACTCTATTGACTTTCAAAGCTATTTAAAGTTTTATATTATCATAAAGCACATTTTACTTCCTCTGTTCAGGTTCATGATGGAAAATTTCCATCTTCTGATTTTGTGTTTGAGTTTGAAAATATCTAGTACCTAGTCTGAAGCCCACAGGAGAATCCTTCAGTTGTAGGTTCACTTCCGTAGTTACAACCCATTACAAATTAAGTGAGTCTGTCCCTGTTTTTCCCAGGGTAAAGTCTGATTATTTTTAGTTGCCATTTTCTGGGGTTAGTGGGATTGAGGACAGGGATTTGAGGAAGGCTAAAGACCACCTGGTTTTCTAGAACTTCCTTCTCATTATCTGCAAGAGAGAAAGAGAAAGTCCACAAAACCATCACCTACCCTTCTGTTTTGAAGTTTAAAAAAATTATTTGGCTTATATAAGCTATACTTAAATTGTAAAAGATACATATTTGGTCATGCTTTAAATACTTCCTATATATATATATATATATATATATATATATATTTGTGTCTTGTGTTCATATGCAAGCAGTTTTACTTCATAGCTGTACCTTGTTCCCATGAGCATGTCATTTGTTTATGTTTCTTGATTGATAGTTATTTCCATTTGTTTACTATAAACAGCTGAGCATATCATTTTTCTTTTCTTTCTTTTTTTTTTTTTTTTTTAACAAACTTACACTTTAAAAGAACTTCAGATTTTCAGAAAAATTACAAAGCTGGTGCAGAGTTCTCACACTCTTCCCCTTTCTAAGGCACACCCCATTTGCCTGATGATTGGCAACATGCTACGTTGGGGGCTGGTGATATGGCTCAGCGGGAGAATGTGTGCTTAGCATGCATGAGGACCTGGGTTCGACCCCAGCACCTAAAATAGAAAAACAGACAAGCATGTTACGTTGGTATGGCGTATCTGTTAGTATTTACAAACCAAATTCATATTTCATTTAAATTTTCTAGAGGTTTTGCCTAGTTTTGCCTAGTACATTTTCTTTTCCAGAATTCTATCCAGGGTAATACATTTGGTGACCTTGGTCCTCCTTAGGTTTCTCTAAGATTCTCAGACTGCCTCAGCTTTAATAGCTTGAAGTTTTGCTGAGTACAGGTCAGGCATGTTTTTAAAATGTCCCTCCTTTGGGCTTTGTGTGATGTTATCATGATTAGACTGTGTTGTGTTTTGAAGAGGAAGACCCCCAGCACTCTTGGCACCACCAAGTTCTACGGTTCTGATTAATGCAGTGCCATGCGTCTGCTGGTACTGTATGAAACTTTCCCCACCCTGCAGATCTGCTGTTCAACTTCCCCTGTCTCCTCTCAAGTCTCTGGCAAGCACTGATCTTTTACAGTTTCCATAGTTTTGCGTTTTCCAGAATGTCTTGTAATTGGAATCACCATATGGATACTGTATTGTACAGTATCCATACAGTACAGGTCATACTGTACTGGATCACCATACTGTAGTTTGTCTATATACTTATTATAGGATGTCTTACCTAATTCCAGAATTAAGTAATGAGAAATAAAGCTGCTATAAACATTTGTGTGCAGGTTTTTGAGTAATCGTAGATTTTCAGATTAGTTAGGTAAATAAGGGATATGGGTGTAGACTGATGGCAAGTCCTTTGAACTTCACAACAAACCACTGAGCTGTGTTGCTAAGTACCTGTAGCATTTTGTGTTCCCCTCTAGAGTGAAGGAGAGCTCCCATCCTTCTGCTTTCTGGCCCGCATGTGCGATTGTTAGTTGTTTCCTTTTCATCTGTCCTGATAACCAGAATGATGTCTTGTTTTAAGTGCAGCTCTCTAATGGAAAATGATTATGCATATTTTTGCATGAACTTATCAGCCATTTGTATCTTTTCTCTTAAGCGTCCAGCCCTTTTGCCCATTTCTTAACTAAGTTTTTTTTTCCCTTATTGTTGAGGTTCAAAAAAATTTTTTTTGCATTTCAGTCAGCAGGTTCTTTATCAAATATTTGTTTTCAAATTATCTTCCCTTAGTCTGGTTTGTGTTTCATTCTTCTAATAGTGTTTTTTTTAGAACAAGTTGGATTGTGTTTTTAGTCCTGTATCTAAATTCCCTACCAAAAACAGGTCATGTGAATTTTCTTCTAGTAATTTTAGAGGTCTGTATTTTATGTTTTGGTCAGTAGTCTTTTTTGTGAAAGGTGTAAGGTCTGTATTATAGTGTTGTTTTTTTTTTTTTTTAAATAGTGCGGACATGGAAATTTTCAAGCACCTTTTCTTGCTATTTCTATATTAAATTGCCTTTGCTTCTTTGTCAAAAATCAGGTGGCTGTGTTGGTCTGTTCTCCACTGTCTTGGTAATCCATGTGTCTTCTGCTGACATTGTAGCTCGCTGGTAAGTCTGGAAATTGGGTAGTGTGAGAATTTCAGTTCTGTTCTTCTTGTGCTGGCTTTTGTAGGTCTTCTGTTTTTCCATATAAACTTTAGGATCATTTTATCAATATCGACAGAATGGTTTGCTAAGAATGTGAAATTGCATTGAATTTATAGATCAGTTTGGGGAAAAGTGATATCTTAACAGTGTTGAGTCTTCTCATCCATGAACACAGAGTGTCTCTTCATTTATTTA